GGCTCGTGTTGAGGATCCAGTCCCGCAAGCGATGGTCCCAACAGGCTCAGTTGCTGAAGTACGCAAAGAACGGGTGCCCCAAGAAGTTCACGGAGGCGAAGGGCTTTGGAGCCCACATCGGAAGGTGGAGCTGGCGGGAGATAAGCTACGAGTGGTAGGTCAGCTACCTCAGCGAGTGAGACACAAGGTGCTGCAGGCGGCCGCGAAGCTCGACCATCAAGGGATCCAGAAGTTGTCTGCCATGGCCCGAGAAGGCCGAACCGACCTGCTGGAGATCTGTGTTCCACCGGACAGCTCGCTGGGCAGCCAGGTGGAGAAGATGGGAGGAGTGGTCACGAGGATGGGCTTGTTCAACCTCTTCGACTTCTCCAAGAAGGCATCGGTGCTCAAGGCGAAAGAACTCATCAGCAAGGAGAGACCCCGCTGGGCCCACGCCTCCCCTCCGTGCTCACCGTTCTCAGCACTACAAAACGGAAGGCCCAACACCATCGAGTCCCAGGAGAAGCTGATGAAGGTCAGGAAGTGGGGTCGCAGAGTCATGAGGAACGTCCTGGAGGTGCTGATCTACGCTTGGCGGGAGTTCGGCACCGAGATTTCAGTGGAGCATCCCCTCACCGCGAGCTCCTGGAGAAGTATCTCGGAGCTGTTCGACGTGTGGCAGCAGCTGTACGAGACTATCAGCTATGGATGCGGCTGGGGTATGAGGAGCGACGTGACCGGAGAGCTGGTTCGCAAGGGCTGGAGGATCATCACCACCAACCAGAAGCTCGCCGACCGACTTCGGAGGAGGTGTACGCGTGACCACGAGCACACCGTGATCGAGACTGGCCTCGCTGACGTCGGGAAGACAGCCAGATATCCGATAGCTATGTGTCGAAAGTGGGCTGCGACCATCATGGAGGAAGATGCCCAGGACTACTTCGAGGTGCAGAGAGCATTCGCGACCGACGAGGAGGAGCTGAACCAGACGACAGCTAAGGAGGACGATCTCACGAAGATAGATCCGAAGGTGATCGACCTGGTCAAGAAGAAGCTCATGAGCATCCACGTCAACATGAACCACATGGGCCTCAATGCCATGCGCGCCTACCACACTCGAAAGGGAGCTGAGCCCTGGGTTATCACACTGGCCGGCAAGCTGAAATGCAGCATCTGTGAGGCAACGGCTCGTCGGGAGCCGATGCCCGTGGCAGCCGGTCGCGAGGCGGAACCCTTGGACGTGCTCCAGATGGACGGCTTTGACTGGATCCACCCCGTCACCGAGACCAGAGCTCGAGGTACGATGATGGTCGACGAGGGCTCAGCTAAGGCCGTGCCAGTGATCCACACCACCGTGCCGGACAAGGGGAACACGGGCGAGACATCGTCGGTGACGGTGTGGGATACCTTCGTGAATTGCTGGGCTCGGTACTTCGGTCGTCCTCTTCAAATAAGGACTGATCCAGCCGGAGCCTACAGAGCCAAGAAGCTCAACGAGACGGCCTCAGAGCATGGGATTCACTGGGAGGTCGGACCCGCCGAGGCACCTGGAAGCACGGGCGCGTGGAGGTGACCATTAACTTGCTCAAGGTGGCAGCCACGAGGATGGCCATCATGGACCCGGAGTGCCCGATTCAAGAGCTGTTCAGCTGGGCGGCGGCCGCCCACGCGGAGATGTTCCGGGTATCCGGAGCCTCACCCGATCAGGTGATTTTCGGCAGGCAGCTGCGTCCCCTCGACTCCCAGCTGACGGGCACAGTTGTGCAGCTCCAAGCTGAGGCGGAAAGAGGCACCAGCGCGGAGCTGATGATGAAGAGGCGCATGCAAGCCAGGAAAGCTTTCGCCGAGGCTCTCGCAGATCGACAAGCTCGACTGGCTGCGCTTTCCAAGACGAGGAAGTTCAGGACGTGGGAGACGGGCGAGCTCGTATTCTACTGGGTAGAGCCTGGCAGCAGGAAGGATAAGCTGAAAAAGTCCAAGGGCGAGTTCATCGGACCTGCCCTCGTGGTTAACCAGTTCTTCCGTCACGAGAAGGGCGAGGCGACCCCCCGCAACCTGGTGCTGGTATACCACCACAATCAGTTGATCCTGACCACGCCCCAGCAGCTTCGTCCCGCGTCGGAGCACGAGAAGGCATTACATGAGATCCTTCAGAAAGCGAAGCCCATTGAGAGACAGCCCCTTACGGAGGCCATGGACATCGGTGCGAGGTACTGGGACTTAAGCCATCAGAGACCGCCCGAGGGAGTAGATCATGATCGTGCTGAGCGTCAGGTCTCAGCTGACGAGCCTGAAGGAGATCCCGAGCCAGAGAGAGCCGACGAGGATGCGGTGCCCGAAGATCCAGCAGAGGATGAGGCCATGCCCGGGGTCGATGAGATCTCGAGCGAGGACTTCGAAGGGCCTGAAGGAGATCAGCAGCCCCCCGGGGAGGAGGACAGGAGCGCTGAAGAGGCACTGCGCCGCATCGTGGAGGCCCCCGACTCAGAGCCCGAGCAAGAGGAGACTCCAGAATCTCGAGCATCATCATCGACACCACCTCCGGCAGCAGCACCAGCACCCGCAAGGCCGGCCTCCACCGAGTATCAAGTGGGAAAGAACCCTCTCCTGGATGACGTACCAATCTCAATCCAGCGCAGCGTGGCGAGCTGGACAGCACCGACTACGCCATCAGAGGCACCCCCCGAGAAGAAGGCAAGGACGGCTGAGGAGCTCGGGGTGGCGGAGATCTTCTCCAATATGACGGAGGACAGAGACATCTACCTGGCCGAGTTCATCATGGAGGGCGATGCGCTGGCGGCGTTCAGCGAGAAGCCGAAGCAGACGCTGAAGAAAGCAGTCAAGAAGGGCCAGGTCGAGATCAACTTGCGGAAAGCGACCCCAGAGGTGAAGGCCTTGGTGGGCAACGCCAAGCTCGTGGAGGTGAACAACTGGATGCACAACGAGGTGTGCCAGGCGGCTCTCCGGAAAGCCGGGGTGAAACCTATGAAGATGAGGTGGCACCTGATCATGAAGGACGACGGCAAGGTGAAAGCGAGGCTGATCCTGCTGGGGTTCCAGGACCCGCGTCTGGCCACGATCGACAAGTCGAGCCCCACCGTCTCGTCTCGGGGCCGGAACTTGGCGCTGCAGATGATGGCCAATATGCGACTCAAGCTCTACAAGGGCGACGTCAAGGCAGCTTTCCTGCAAGGAGATCCAACTCAAGCCAAGCACGACCTGCTGGTGGAGCCGGTACCTGAGCTCCGCGAGGCCATGCAGCTGTCAGATGACGAGTGCGCAAAGATGCTGAAGGCGGCCTACGGACTCGTGAATGCCCCGAAGGAGTGGTATCACAAGGTGGACAGCGACCTGAGGAAGCTGGGATATGTGGCGATGACCCTGGAGCCCTGCCTGTGGATCAAGTACGACAGCAACGGGCAGGTTGAGACGGTCATCTTCGTACACGTGGACGACTTCGTGATGGGCATACCGAGCTCACCCCCAGGTTACAAGAACTTGTGCCAGGTGCAGGAGCTGTACAGTTGGGGATCCTGGGAGACCGGATTCATCACGCAGTGCGGCTCGGAGTACGTGCAGCTGGCAGACTACACCATCCTTCAGAGCCTGGCCAAGGCCGTGAAGAAGGTTGAGTACATCGAGCTGAACAAAGAAGAATCGAAGCTGAGGGATGAGGTACCGCTGTCCGACCGCCTCAAGTCCAAGTGCCGAGCCGCTCTGGGGAGTACCATGTTCCTGGCGTCTCAGGGAATGACATGGCTCGCAGGAGAAACTAGCATTCTGGGTGGTGAAGTGCCTACTGGAACGATGGCGACCGTCAAGAAGATCAACAAGCTAGTGCACACCGCTCATGAGACCTCGTGGATCACGATAGTGTTTAAGCCTATGGACGACCCGGTCTTCGTAACATGGCATGATGCAGCATGGAAGGTGCGGAAATCGGGAGGCTCTCAGGGCGGAATGATTATGGCGATGGCGGAACGCAAGATTCTGGACGGTCAGCTTACGAGTGTTTCAGTGATTCAAGGAGCCTCTCGCAAGTTACCCAGGGTAGCCCGCAGTTCTCTTAGCGCTGAAATTCAAATGGGGACTATGGCCAACGAAGCTCAAGAGTATGCTCGACTAGCCTGGTATGAGATGCTACACGGACGTCAGATACCAGTCCATCAGATCAACGAGTGCCTCAAGACGGTGTCCGGGACGCTGGTGACTGACTGCAAGGCCATGTACGACAGTGCGGTGAGAGCATGCTCATCCGGCTACGGCTGCAACGACCAGAGGTCTGCGATCGAAGCGCTTGCCCTACGTCAAAGCATGAGTGCAGCTACGACCGTACTACGATGGGTTCATTCTGAAGCGATGATAGCCGACGGACTCACGAAGTTGGAGGCGCCCGCTCTGCAGGTCACCTTGGGCTTCTACGTCAAGCAGCAGTGGGCCCTGGTACAAGACCCGAGCTTCACTTCATCCAAGCGTCGCAAGATCATGAAAAAGAACACCTTGGACAACATCGACGATGAAGATCGACCCCCCGTGGTGCCCCGCTACAGTGATGAAGACCCTGAGAGTGACTTCGAGGATGAGCAGCTCCAGACCCGCTCGAGCTTGGCCGCTGCTGTACAGGCTTGTCCCACCTCGTTCTCAGCTCTGTCGCACTCTGCCAGGCCTCGTCAGAAGCTCATTTCAGGTCTGGAGGTATTTCACCTCAAGTAAGGGGAGCACTGAACCCCCCGTCTCGTAGAAATCAGGTTTTTGTCTAGAACGCTAAAATAAGTTGGCATGTGGATTTCTGTACTCATATTCAGTGCTCGAGCTTTCTGTGCGCGGTTTCCATATCGAACTGTTAGTTTGACTTGGCTCGTGATCGAGCCCCAGGCATCCTGCCCCGAGGAAAGATACACTCTTCCTATCCTACACAGTGGAAGTTGATTACTGATATCATCTTATTATCTCATCGACTTCTCTTCGAGTCAACCTCGACGAGGCGATAAATCACGGGGGGGGGCGGGGAAAGACCGGGCCTCGACCAGCTCGAGGGCCGCGTCCCAGGACGAGGCCTCGGGGGAGCCGCGCTCGCGCGCACGCCGGCATGGATTCGGGCCCCGCGGAGCTGGCGCAGGGGCGCCAAATGCACAGATCCCGGGGAGCGTGCCTCCCGAGAAGTTGGGCTAGTGCCGTCTCGTTTGGCGACGCGGCGCTCCGATTGCGTACGGAAACGGGACCCGTCGCTAATCCCTAACACACGTGGCCTAATCAACGTTGTCGTTTCCCCGACCCGCGCGGGGGGGGGGGAGGGCAGCGCGGAGGCAGGGGCGCGAGGTCGCCTGAGATCCGGGCGTCGCACCCTGCTCACGCCAGGCATTCTCGCCCAAGTGCTGGGCCTTCGGGGGCCCTCGCAGATCGATCCAGCTCGGAGAATGCCACTCCAAAGGTGGGGTCCAGGGCTCTGGCTGCAATTTTCTACACGGTGCTGCATGTTGCCTCGACGTCGGATCTCAAGGGTCGGCCGGCCGGCCGCGAGCAGCACAAGCAGGCATCAAGCCAACGCTCGCCGCAAAAGCAAGGCGAGCGACAATCGGTAACGGGTCTTACGCGAGATGGATCAGCGACCTTACGCGGTGGCTTCCGCGGGCCGCCAGCGTGGCACACCGCGTGGAGAAGAGGGCGCATTCGCGCGGCCTTACGCGGCCAGCTTGCGCGCGAATGTCGGCACAGTCGAAACCGTTTTTCTGCGTCGCTCAGGTGGGCGAGATGGGCGCGAGGAGGAAGTGCGACGAAGGGTTGGGGTGGGGGGCAGCAGGATAAACCTAGGAAGGGAACGCCAGGGAGGGGGCGACAGGGCGGGGCGGAGCGGGGTAGCGAGGAAGGCGCGGGGGAGGAGCAGGGCAAGGAGAGGCAGGGGGAGGCAGGAGGGAGGGGAGCGACGAGCGGAGAAGTGGGGGGGACAGAGCGGGGGACCTGTTCAGAACTGTGGGGACCGCACGGGTGGCACACGCGATGCTCCGGGTTGGAGCTGCGCGGGGGGGGAGGCGAGGCGAGGCGAGGCGCCGGTCAGTCGCCCCGGCGGGGACGGCCCTACGAGAGCCCGGCAGTGGCGCCGGAGCGCCGAGAAAGAACCTTAGTCGAAGGGGAAGGAGGGAGGAAGGACTCAGACCGTGAAGAGGGAGTTTCGCACACAATCCCCACAATTGACATAAGCCAAAAACTTCGGTTCCAACGCCGACCATGCTTTCTTGTCCGTCGCAATGTGTATTCACCTTTTGTGGTCGTCGTCTCCCTCGTGTGTAGTGAATGTGCGTACGAATTGTGCGACTTCGGCATCCCATCTTTTCCGTTGTCCTCCGTGGCGCCGTAGGGTTTGGCGTGGGTCGTGGGTGTTCGAGGTCTATTGTAGTGAGAGCCGCGCCCATCTGTCGTACTCGTGGGCTGCGACGCGCGATGCCCGCCGCCACTTCCGTGTGAAGTATACCGTAGGCCAGAGCTCTACGCCTGCGCGCCGAGCATGTTCTAGGGCTGCGTGCGTCGACCGTCGCACGATTCTTCCCATGGCTCCAACCCGTCGTCTTCTTCTCTGTCGTCGGCTCTGTCGCGGTGGATGGGGGAGTCTGCTGCGTCGGCGCCGGTCGCTTCGTGGGTGTCAGTGTCGCGAATGTGGTTTTGTAAATTGCGACGCCTTGGCATCCCGATGACAAGCCTGAGCATCCTCCGCTGTGCACGCCGCACAGTGAAAAGCATGTCGCTGGTGAGGGTCCAAGAGGAGCACCCGTACATCACTGATGCTGTGATCGTTCCGTTGAACAGCCTCAATCGACTGGAGTGGGAAGCCCTTGTGTGTCAGCTCGTATCTTAATTGCTTGAAGCGACCCCATCCTGCGGCAATTCTATTGCGTAGCTCTGTCTCGTGGAAGTCGTGGAAAGTAAGCTTCCTTCCTAAATACTTCGTGCTCTGGACGAAACGCAATGTTTCGATGCGTTTGCCGTTGATTGTTCTCCCCTCTCTCCAGCTGGCGTTCGTAAATATATTGGTTTTGTCTGGGTGCAGTGCCAAACCGCATGTCTCGGCTTGGGACTGCACATCCCGGAGCAAACAAGAAAGTTGTCGTAAAATGGGGGAGCGGAGCAAAACATCGTCGGCGAAACGTAAATTTGCGATTCGCACTAGTGGTGCGAAGCCTAGTTGGATCCCGAAGTTCTTGCGCTGCCACTCAGGCTTCACTTGTCTGAACACCTCCTCGAGGACAGCATTGAACAAGAAAAAGCTCAGTGGGTCTCCTTATTTCACGCCACGCTCGATACTGAAAGCCCTGCTGGTGGCGTCTGCCCTGACTGTTGCCGCCCGGGCGCAGCACAACCGTTTGAAAAAAAGGAGGGCAAAAAAAACAGAACAAAAAATGCAGGAGGTATGTGCTGTTGTCGCAAAGCTCCCCAATACTTGCTCGTGGTCTACACAGTCGAACGCCTTCTTAAAGTCGATTGCTGCTGCCCACAACGGTAGCTGCCTCTCGTAGAAACCCTCATGCAGCATGGCAGCCGTGAACAGGTGGTCCTCCGCGCAATAATCCTTCCGGAAGCCTGCTTGGTCAGGGCACCGTTGCGAGTCGAACAGCGAGTTCAGACGGTTGCAAAGGAGGCGAGACATCAATGTGTAGAGCAATTGGAAACTGGCAATCGGTCTGCAATTGCCTGGGAGTTGGGGGCCTCCTGATTTGTAGAAATACGGTGATTGTGGTGGTCTTCCACTGGCCCGGTGGTGTCTGGGTAGGTTTGATGATGTCGTTGTAGAGTCGGAGTAGGTGGCACTGTATGGCAGCGCCCCCAGCTTCGAGGATTTCTGCTGCGAGCCCCGCGGTGTCTTTGCACTTGTCGTTCTTGAGTTGTCTGATTGCTTGCGGGAATTCGGCTACGGTGGAAGGTGGGAAGGTTGAGTCGCGCTGAGTTGTCGTTGGGGCGTCGCGGAAGCTGTCTGAACGGTGCGGAGTATTGCATAGCTCCTCGTAGAAGGTTGCGAATACGTCTGCTATGCTTTGCCTGCGTGTCTCCTCAGCGCCATCAGGTGTCTTCATCGGTGCAATTCGCTCTGCGTGCCTAGTGGTTTTTAAGCCAGCTATTCTCTGTAGGCCTTTGACTTGGCAAACGACGCGTTCGAGCTTGGCGTTCATCTCATTGCGTTTGATGGCCCTTGTCTGCCGCATGATTTGTCTGCTGAGGGACCTTCTGGTAGCTGGGTCCCTTGGTGAAATAGCGCATCGTTGTTGGATGAGTGCCTTAAGCCGTGCTGTCGGACCGTCGTCGGGGATATCCGGAGGGTCTCTGGTGCTTCTCGTAGCGCTCCTGGTCGTCCTCGTTTGCAACCTTGAGCCCTCCTCCGATGGCCCGGCACCTGCTGCCCAGATCGGCGTCGCGGCGGCGGTTTGCCGGACGCTCTTGAAGGCGCTGCTGGAAGAGAGGGTCGCCAGCTGCAGGCGGGGCGCGCCTGCGGTTGCGCGTTTGCTTGCGCCCACTCTTCCATCTCGCCGTTATCCCGAATGTCAACTTAATGTGCACTGCTTGGTGGTCGGAGCCGAGATCTGGGACGTTGGAGGCAAACGAATCAATCACCTGGTTGCGACGCGCTCTGTCTATAAGGATGTAATCAATTTGTGTCTGAGTCGGCCGTTTGCCACTGCTCGCGCACGCGAAAAGGCCGCGGTGGTGCTTGCAGAAGAAAGCGCTTGCAATGATCATCTAACGCGTGCTAGACCAAATACGGGGCCATGTCCCTCGCGGGCTGCACGTGCCCAGCCCTAACTTGCCGACCGTGCTCCTCCGGCCCAAGGTCTCGGATCGTTCGTCGTCGTCTTTGCCGCCGTCGCCATTGCCAAGGCGTCTACCAACCTGTGCATTGAAATCCCCCGCAGTGGTGCATGTCCGCTTGTCTTGAATAGCGGCGGCGCGCAATGAATCCAGATGGTCGCACATGTGCTGGACGTGAATGTCTGCGAATCCGGAGTGAGGGAAATACGCCGTCAAGACTTTCATGTTCTGTTCTGGGATGTCGATGTCGACGTAGGCGATTCGCTAGTTCACGGCCCCGAAGCATCTGACGTGCCGGACGCGTTGCCTACGAACGAGAAATGCAACTCCTCGCGACGTTTCTGCGCGGTCGGACGCTGCAAACAGATGGTTGCCACGGCTTGTGATCCACATCTCGCGAGATTAAATTCTCCTGGTCTCGTTGATAGCAAGAACATCCCAGTGCACGTCTTTCAATTCACGCAACAACTCGTCTATGGAATCGTCCGTTGTAAGACTTCGCACATTATTGTGGATAGCGGGAAATGGTTGGGGTGGCGATGGATGTGGTGCTCGATTTTGCTGATGGTGCTCTTTCTCGTCGCCGTCGTTGCTACCCCTTGGGCGATTTCGGCGCATGCTGATGGGAACGTCGCCATCCGCAGCGCTATGTTTTCCTCGTCCTCCTCCAGCGCATCGCGAATTGGTCTGTGTTGGTGGAAGCGTGGAGTCGGGTGCCGGAGGCTGAAGGTCGGACCTCTGCGATGGCACTGGCTGGACGTCGATTCGTGGAGGTGGAAATGGAAAGTCGGATGCTGAAGGCCAGCGGTCGGGGTGCTGAGTTGGCGGAGGCTGGATGTCGATAGATGGAAATGGTGTCGTGGACTCGGCTGCTGGAGGCTAGCGGTCGACAGGTGGAGGTGGAGGTGGAAAGTCGGATGCTCGAGGCTGGAGGGCGGCGCGCAGAGCTGGTTGACGCTGGAGGTCGATAGCTGGAGGTGGAAGTGGAAAGTCGGCTTTTTGAGGGTGGGCGTCGGGGTGCTGAGCTGGCTGGAGGCGGGGGTGGCACGTCACATGCAGCTGGAGGCCGGGGGGGGTCGGAGCGCGGAGCGGCTGGACGCTGGGCGTCGACAGGCGGAGGTGGAGGTGGAAGCTTGGATGCTTTAGGCTGGAGGTCGGAGTGCTGAGCTGGTCGACGCTGGAGGTCGGCGGGTGGAGATGGAGGTGGAAGGTCACATGCTGCCGGAAGGCGGAGGTCTGAGTGATGGGCTGCTGGACGCTGGTT